GTATGACGCAATGACTTATTTACTTTTCTACATTTATTTTATAGGTGAACACCAACCTTAACATTATAATTAGTGCATTTTTCAATCATTATTTAATTTACTTTAATTAAAAAATATATTTTTGTGTTACTTACTTCAAAGGTATGATATGAATATGGTTTGATTTTTATGAAAAGGGATAAAAATGTGAATCGAATTGACAAAATATATTTAAAAAAAGAACTTTGAATAGTAGAACGGAAAATTTCATTGAAATTTCGAAATTTCACAACTATTATTAAATAATCATGATCAAACACAATTTTGATTTATCGTATGACCCAAATAACTACAATACTGACAGCACGAATGCCCCACCCAAATTTACCTCATTTTGCTGCGCTTTTATTGTTTCAATTTGAAGATTTGTAATGACCATGTTAATGCAATTTTTGTGTCGCCTGTCAAAGAGTAGCTGCGACATAGAGAGATCACTTCTCTTTCGTCTGTCCATACGAACTTGTGTGACATTAATGGGTAAATATCCAAGATTATTCCGTACAGATTTGTACTTGTGGGGAAAATTGCTTATTAGTTGCAAATACATTGCTTATGGGGTTTAAGTGATCAAAGAATATGAAAGAAAAAGCCAATAATTTTAACTCAAAAATAACGTCCGTCCGTCTGTCCGTCCGCATTTAGAGTGTACGGCTTTCACTTGTCAAACTACTTGTAGGATTTCAACTAAACTTTACAATTAGTACCATTCCTAGTTGTGAATAACTCCGGCAAGTTAACTTCGCTACACTAAATGGCAACCAGAGCTTTAAATAGAAAAAATATTGTTCGGCTTTCACAGGTCAAACTTCTCTAGGGATTTCAATATAAACCTTACAGGAGTGATCAGTACCATCCCAAGTTGTCCATATTGCCGACAGGTTCCGCTTTCAGCACAAAATAGTCACCATAGCTGTAAATAAATAAAAAAATCTTGTTCGACTTTAACAGGTTAAACTGCTGGTGAAATTTCAATAAAACGTCCCAGGAATTATCAGTACCCTCCTTATTTGTGCATTTCACTAGCAAGTTCCGCTTCGCTGCACAAAATGGCCGCCAGAGGTAATTGGGTGTGGATCGTCGGATAATTGACACTCCGATCCGATCCACGATTCATCACTTACGATGATTCCGCTTTGTCAGCCATGTTTGTTTTCACAAAGTCTGTCCAAAGTGAAAGTAGGCCAAAATTCATATAACAACAAAGCTCTTATTGTAAAATGATGAACCATTTGAAAGTACACTTCCAGGTTTATAGTTTAAGGACAATTATAAACAAAAATGAAAATGATAACAATAAGAATATTTACCTTGAATGTGCCACATTTCGGAAGACCAGAAACATTTTGTTGCAAAGTTTTATGCACATTTCATGAATGGCTAAATCCTTTTTAAAGTCTGTTTTAGTGCCTACAAAAGCTATTTTTGCACCAAATACAAAAATCTTTCAAAACTTAACTCCAAATAAATCCGTATCTCATGTCCTTCTAAGCACATGGCCTCCATTTTTTTTGTAAAAAAAGTAGTGCAAGAAAACAATCATCATTTATAGCCTTATGAATTACAATTAAAATGAAATCACAATCAAACTTTAAAATCTAACCTTTTTTATGTGTAACAGTGAAGTGTGTCTGTTTGTCATGTACACATGTAATAGGTAAATGATGTTTATTTTCACGGTACTACTTTTTTACACATGTCATGGTGGCCATGTTTTTTCAAAGTCAGATAAACTACTTTCCTAAGATTTATGTTTTTTTAAAGTTTTTTGTATTTTATGCAAAACATAGCTTTTGTAGGCACTAAAACAGACTTTAAAAAGGATTTTGTCATTCATGAAATGTGCATAAAACTTTGCAACAGAATGTTTTTGGTCTTCAGAAATTTAGCCAATTCAAGGTAAATTTTCTTTTATTTTTAATTAAAATAGTCTCTAAAACATAGAATTGGAAGTGTACTTGCAAATGGCTCATCATATAACAATGTGAGCTTTGTTGTTATATGAATTTTGACCTAATTTCACTTTGGATAGACTTTGTGAAAACAAACATGGCTGACAAAGCGGAATCACCTTACGATACACAATCGAACCATGAAGTTTCGTAAAACGCCCATAAAACATGTTACATGTATATTTTTATTTTAACAATACTAAACATTAAACATGTATACAAATATACACTAGGTTAAAAAGTTGAAAAGAAGTCGCACGGATATAAAATTCCACTAGCAAAATTTACTTCCAATGTGTGGGAATATTTAAGTATTTCAACTCAAAATGGGAAAAATTAGTTTGTTAAACATGCCACGGCGAACTGATTTATACCGGTGGTACAACGAACTTGTCTTATCACATTACAAGACAAATATTTGTGTTTGCTATTACTTTTTGTCCATGGGCCCAATATTTATTAATCAATCCCTTCGATTTACAGCTAAAAATAAATTCGAAATCAAGAACTCCTCCCGATTTTTAATATGTATAGTCATATATTGCTTTCCTCTTCCATGATTTGTAGCATGTCATATTAATGAATGAGAACGGGGACATATTTCACGCCTCACGTGAATTCGAAAGCTATAAATATCTATATAGCCTTAAAATCGTGAAAATCCGAAAATCTATTTACAGAAGTATTTTTTGTCTAAATGTAATGGTCATTCGTGTCGCCCTATGGTAATAAATAAAGAACTGGAGAATTTTGCAGGAAATGAAATGCAAACATATTCAACAATGAATTGCACTCTTTATAAGTTTATCGAAAATTTTAATAAGGCCATGTTTTACAAGTTGTTTTATCATAGTACTTCCGCTTTGGAATTGTCTTTTCTTTCCGGTATGAAGCTCCTTTTCTTTTTACGGCCCTGATTGCACTTCTGACAATTTTACCGTGAATATTGAAATTGACCCTGATTTCTCGAAATATTTCTGTAGAAGTTGATTCTATTTTATGTATGCAATCGGTTTTATGGTGGTTTGGGAGGAATGTGGATTTGCCGAATACTGTTACATTTTGACAACAGAAACTTTCGTCTACAGTTCGGGTTTTGAAGCAACTCAAAATAACAGTATATTGATTTTCCAATAAATCAATTAAATATAACTCTTGATAGATAGGTAGGTAGGGAGGGACGGAGGGAGGGTGGGTGTTTAGGTAGGTAGGTGGCATGACATAGAGAGGCAGACCTAAATATAATCATGTTTAAAAATACTAATAAATCATAAAAATGTATATCACAGTCAAATCTTGAGTTAAAGACACTCCTGTTTACAGCTAGGATTTAAAACACATTACTAAAATTAAATAAGATAATGAGCAGACAATTAAAAATCCTGAGCCGAAATATGTAAAAACATAGCAAAAAAAATAAATACTGTTCATAAGATGACTTTTGATGGCAACCTCGAAACTTTGTAACCTGTTGATCTCCGTTAACTCTACAGGTAAATCATTCCATAATTTATTTCCAGAGAAAGCCCTGACCTTTAACCTTAGGTAGATAATACCCACCCTTTTGACTAAGTCTTGTACTATAATCATGTACGGAATCTTGCGAAATAAACTGTTCAGACATGCAATCCGGAGACAGGCCTTTTTTATCTTAAAAACATGACACAACATTATCTGTTCAAATCTTCTGTGGACCGGTAACCAGCTAAGGGACTTAAAATGGGATGGGTTAATATGGGCTCTGGAATCCAAGTCAAGTACAAATCTCATTATTTTATTTTGACAAGTTTGTAACTTATTTTTAAAGACTGTGTCAAGCTATTATACCAAACAGAGCATGCGTAATCATAGTGACACTGAATAAGAGACATAACCAGAAGTTCCTTGGTATGCTGAGTAAGAAACACTTTCTTGTGGTAAAGAAATTTTAACCGAGAGTTGGCCTTCTTAAGAACAGACTCGGCCATGGAGCAAAATGACAGATTTTGGTCTATAGTAATCCCAAGATACTTGATAGATGAACTTGATTCAATGGATGTACCAGAGCAGGTTTTATGCAGGTTAGATTGTAACCTAAGCTTTTGCCTGAACCCAAATAAAATTGACTCGGTTTTACCCAAGTGCAATGACAACTTATTGTCCACTAACTATTGGCTGACCAATTCCATATCATCATGTCAATGCATTTTCAACAACAGATAAACTTTTACCAGATAAAGGATACCAGAATTATCAGCATATAAAAGCAATTTATTTTTGACCACAAATGATATATTATTTACATAACTTAAAAAGAGAAGGGGTCCAAGGATTGAGCCCTGAGGAACACCACATGTTATTTTGGAATTGGAAGAATAAGTACCAGAGACATCTACAAGCTGCTGTCTATCTGATAAATTAGATTTGAACCAATTTAGGACGTCAATACTAAGACCTGATGCTTGCAGCCTTATTTAAAGAATGGAATGATCGACTGTGACAAACGCTTTCTGCAACTCCAGCAGCACCATACCAACAACATTACCGTTATCGTTTTCATACCTGATAAAGTTTGTAAGGTGAATAAGACAAGTATCAGTAGAGAAGCTACTCCTGAAACCTGACTGAAATTTATACAGCAGATCTTTGACCTTAATCAAGGATTTTAGATACAACATTTAAAATGGACACAGGCCGGTAATTACCAACAGACAATTTGTCGTTCTTTTTATAGATGGGAACAACTCTTGCAGATTTAACATCATCAAGGACTTGACCTTGGATAAGGGATAAGTTTATGATATGAGCTATTGGACTAGCAATAACTGGGGATCCATCTCTGATAAAACGTGAAGGTATAACCATGTAAGCCAGTAGCTTTTTTTTGACACCTAATGAAGTTCAGTATTTAAGAACTTTACTTTTAGAAACAATGGAAAAAGAAAAACTGTTTGCAAAAACATCCTTATTTGCATAAAAAGTATTAAAAAATTCGTACCAAATTTATGCACACTTTCTGGCAACTTTTCAACA